TATATATATATATATATGCTAGCAATATATAATCCAAGCACTGATCTCTATGGAACAGACCGATACCGATATTCACAATCCTATCCACTCCCCATAGTAGCTCCATCAGGAAGGAGAAGAGAACGTAACAGTTTAACGGTCCATAATTTTGCAATAAATAAGATGGATAAAACTCCCGACGTACGAAGCGGGAAAGCCTCTTCTTTAAAATGCCGTTTGATTCACCCCGATCCGACTTCCGGTTCCAGAGATATCATCGTGTGAAGAGAATTTTTCAGCGCCGCTATCGCCGTCCTTTTCGCACGACTTCCGGACCTACCCCAACTTCCACCAACCGGTCTAGACACTCAGCTGCGCGTAACTAGGTCACTGTGCTGAACGCTACGCCTAAACTTTGAAATCCTATATTTTATTGAGACATCGGGATGAATCAAAAGCGATTCTTCTCGTCTTGACTTCTTCTATCAACCGGGACGGTTTTCAATAAAAACATTCATTGTCGTATCGATTATATTTTTTTTTTTAGATGTATGCGATGATTCCAGATTTTAATTTCCCTTCAACCTCGGAATTGGTCATTCGATTAAGGATCACTGACCAATCTTCTATAGAGATCAGTGGATCCAAGTGCTTATCAAACGAATTCTAATTTAGGAATCGATTTTTTTACCGATTCCTAGATTTACATATTTCCTTTTATTCCGCCGTTACGTTAAAAAGTTTACCACTTAGGATAAGTTGAGGCTACTAAAGGGAAGCAGTTCGTATTTGATAAAGTTAAATTGTATGCAATTTCCATTCTACACGCTAGGAATATCAGAATTGTCTTTTAAAATAAGGTCGGTACTAATCATTTCTCTTTTAATTATAATTATAAGATGTACATGAAATAAAGCTCATGAAATATATTTGGAATTTAATTGGTACCCCTCCTACAGCTTTAATATTCGATTGTAAAACGTGGCATAGGATTTTAAATATCAAGTATTCAATAATTAATAAAAATATAAGCCAGGGAAGCTGCCACCGCACACCCTCGGTGTCTCGGTGTTGTCATATATATTCGAAAATATATATCCATGTAGGTGGCGCCTCACGATGTCATATGCCATCGTCCACCTTAGGTGTTAAAGCTCGATTAGAATAATTGTTATCAGTATATGCTTCATTTAATAAGTGAAACATCTCTCAGTTATCCCCAATGGAGTTTTAAATAATCCCGAATTACAATTTGTATTAGGAATAAACATGGTGCGGATCAAGTGGTCGCTGACCAAAGCGCCTAGCATTCTTAAGTAAGTTGCACAGGAAACAAATAAAAATAATTATCCGTTCAAATGAATACACTTTGCAATATGCTTTTAGGCTTAATTTAAAACAGAAATGGTGGCGCTTGCAAGTCATCATAAAATCATTATTTTACAATGATTTTTTAAATTGGAGTTACGTTTGTGATATACTTTTAGAACCGTTGTTCTGGTTTGTAGAAAATTTTACCGCTTGCTTAGGACCTGTGAGTATCCCTCTGCTCATTTCCTTAATTTCGTTTCTTATACTTTCTCCATCCATAGTGTTCTGTGATTTTTACAAAGGAGACCGGCGCATCGTTCACAATGTATTTACTAAGGTTGACAGTTTACAGGTGTTCGTAGTAATGGTAAGCCTCTTGACTGCAAGCATGGTGTACATAGCATATTACATTGGTCTACCGTACTGGTGGGAGAAGAGCCCAGTGATGACAATAATCCTATTGATAATCGGGAACTGGTTACTAGTTAACGTATGCTTTCATTATTACATGGGTGTAAATGTTCCAGCTGGTTATCCACCGGTAGGTGGTCTTATACCAGAGGCTGTGAGTATTTGTAAGAAATGTATCAAACCGAAACCACCCAGAACCCATCATTGCTCTGTGTGCAATAGATGCATCCTTAAGATGGATCATCACTGTCGTATCCTTTCTAATACACGTTCCATCTTACTGTTGTGTGAATTTCTATGCATTTCCTGAACGATAAAATTAGCATGGTTAAATAACTGTGTCGGTCATTACAATCATAGATACTTTTTCCAATACATGGCTTTCACAGTACTGGGTGTTCTGTTCATAATGTTGTTCGGCGTGGAGATAGCATATCAAGAATTCTTCCCAGCACAGGAACCAGAGCTGGATGGTCATCCAGTACGGATTAACAATTCCGAAATAATTCCTGTGGTAATTATTATAGCGTGTCTCTAACAGGATACGTTTCTTCATTTCATGTCTGTTTCAGACCGAGTCGTTGGATCATTTAAGTGACGAGGAATTAGCTGAAATAGCTAGACAAGCCGCAGACACGAATACCAAAGAATGGAAACGCTGTCTGATAGGTACCGCCGCGTTAATTTGCGTGGCCGCTTTCGCGGCATTAGGAGCTCTGACCTGGTGGCACGCTGGTCTTATTACCAGGGGGGAGACGAGTATAGAAGCACGCATAAATAGCACTGAGACGGAGAAGTATAAGGCACTTGGCAAAGTGTATCAGAATCCCTACAATTTCGGACCAAGACAAAATTGGAGACTGTTTCTAGGCACGATCGGCAGGTAATTCAAAATGCTTAAGCCGTCGGAACATATTTTTGAACACGGTTCACGGTTGTATCGTCGTTTGTACAGGAGCTGGTGGTACATACTTTTCCCATCTAATCACGGACCATACGGGGATGGCCTTACGTGGAAAACCATCCACGACACAAAAATATCTTGAGTATAATTTTTACGCCTAGTAATAACGGCACAAGTTAGACACGTTCTTCTCCAATCACGATAAAGTTGTTCTTACAAATTTCGAGATCTAGTCAAGCTACTACTGCGATTACATGTATAGTATTACGTGCACCGTGCACAATCCTTCAGGCAACTTTGACATCAACATTGAAAAAAAGGGACACCAGATTTTTTAAATCGACAAGATTATCAGATGTATATATATACAACAATATATTTAACAAATTTTTATCACTACAATCGTTATCATCGTAATATCAGTATCATATGTATTTTAAACTTTTAACTCGATAATAACTAATGAGAGGAAAATAAACGTTTTTATCTTTGCAAAGTAATTGTTCCATTTTTGTATAAACTCATGGCCAAACAATACTTTCTATCCAATTAAGATAATGCGAGACTCTGGTGTATACTCCAGGTGTGTTAATGAACGCGCAACCTTTCCCGAAGCTAGTGATACCTAGTACTTGGAACAGGCATGGATTCTTCGGATGAATCACTTGGAGAGGACCTCCCGAGTCTCCTTGACAAGTGTCTGCAGTCCAACCACCATGAGGATCCCCGGCGCAGATCATACTTGGCGTAATTCCGTATGGCACTGATATCGATTGGTTGTGCCTCAGAGCGCACGAAATATTATCAACAATGTCGAGACTAGCTTTTCGCAATTGATCACTTTGTGTTTCATCACCTGAGAACGTCGAAAATGTATTGAAAAAAAGAACGTTTCAGTCTTGTTACAGCTGTTATCGTTAAAGTATCTCTTCAGCTCATTCAAGAAATAACGTAATTATTTCATGAATTAGTGGATTTTACAACTTAATGGTAGCATAATAATATCGTTGCCTTACCAAATTCAGTGACACCCCAGCCGCTGACCCATGCCTTCGAAGGGACAGTGTCGTACTGCTGATAAAGGCAAGCGGGTCTGATTTCTTTATTAAAAGTAACAGCTGCATCTAATTCTAAAAGGGCTATATCAGCGTACATGGCTGGAGCTCTATAATTCGGATGCCTTAACATCCTGGTGATTGTTCTCGTAATACCATGCTGAGTATCTGTCAAGTCATTGAATCCAATGCGGACGTCTGTAGGGCTACTGTTTGGTAGAAAATAACAGTATTCATATAATTTTTATGTTACGAGCATTTGTATCGTTAGATAAGAATTAGAATAATACTTTTGCCCATGAGTGCAGTGTGCTGCAGTGAGTACCCATTGTGGTGCAATGAGAGTACCACCACATGCAAAGATGAACGTTCCATTTGGAGTTTTGCTGCCTAAGGCAACCATGTGAGGAAATTCCCCAGGAGAGGCTATCTCACCTCCAACAATAAGACGATTTGTATTGCTACATTTTTGATCAGTTATCTTGATCACTTCTGGTTTTGTACCCACCAAGGGCAACACCTGTATTGTGTCCAATAATTGTTTTCCATATTCTTCACATTCTGATGTAACAAATTTATTAAAATCAGAGTATTAATATCGATTTATTCGTTTAAAGAATACTTACTGAGTGCTGACTTCGCTTTCGTCTCTACATATGGACTTATTTCATTCGGATAGTCTCCTGATGGTTTTACATCTGGTAAAATTATGGTATCCTGTGGGTTACTTGAGGAATCAGTTTCAGTGTGATTATTTTTATTGGTAGCACCTTGTAGGAAAGGATTGTGAACAGTAACATGAAAATAAATATTCTGGTGGTCCTTCAACAGGCTGGACCTCGATGGTTTAATATTTACGGGTCTCTCCTCGTTCTCTTCATTGCTGATGTCAAAAAATGACACGACTGAGTTTTCAGTAGTCGTTAAGAATGGATTCCTTCGGTAAATCCCATCCCTCGTAAACGTTGCGTTATTATTCTGAAGAAACGGATTACTCGCAGTATTGTCACTCAGTTTCAAGTTCAAGACCACTTGCTTCTTCTCGCAGCTTCCTAAAAAATTCCAATCAGCTATGATTACCCGCTTGTCGATTGAGCAGACGCACTCGGAATGTTTGCGAAAAACTAAATACACACACAGAAACTTAAGAAAATAATATATATTGAGTAACCTGAATTAGTCTTCGACACAATTAGGAAAATAATTAAAATTAATCTACTAATATTAAATCGAAACGCCGACAGTTCCATAACCAGTATCGACGAATATTCCTCCTTGATGACCGGTCAGAGCGGTATGAAAAAAGGAAGTGGCAATGCGCGGCTCGTAGGTCATAAAAATTATCCTCGCCTGGGCAACGTTCGATTTCTATTTTTTTATGTAAATCTGACGTATCTTTAGTGAATCTTATAGGACGAGATGCATCTCATTAAAAGGTTAAAAGTAATTTGCGGATCCGGCGATCCAGTGTATGGATTTATCATCAAAAAGTATTGTGTGGTATTGTTCGAAGTAACGTTCGATTGGTCGATTCAGGATCTTCTTCGGTCGTCTCCGATGTCACGTGACTTTCCACTGAATTATAAAATCTTAATCAACGCGTTTCCTTATCGGAGAAAAATTTCCCGGATAGTTGCGACGCTCATCTTTCATACTAACACAATAATATTTGCCACTATTTACATAACTGGGAAACCAGAAGGACATAGGATAACGATGAGCAATGCATCTTCCTGGAAATAATTTTTGCCTTTTACGCGGACAAAGACGTCGCCTTTATCTCGATTCTTCCTATTTCTATAATATTTTAAACAAGTTTTATTTAATCTAAATAAGGAATGCTCCGAAGACTCGGTGATATCAGACGATTATAATTAGGTTAGCAATAACAAGTGCGTTAATCAATGGATCAGAATTATATAATTTATTTAGCATCCCAGATTATCTTCTGCTGCGTCGGCTGTTATCTAGCCGATGTTGTTATATCAATCTACTAGCATATGTACGATATTATTTCGTACAGGGAAATTACTATGCGAATAACGGTACAAAGTATATATATATATTTTATATATATATGTATATATATATAGGTAGAGTAAACTGGATGTTCAATTAGAATTGATTTTAACATCGAAGATGCTTTATCACGCGATCCTCCTGCTTTGCTCGGCCGCGGCTGCCAGAGCCGGCTCAATCGTTGAAGATAATAAACGTTGGTGCCGGATCGTCTGGAATTGCCGCGGCTTCGAAGTTACTCGAGAACACTTTTGCTATTTAATCGAGCGTCAGATAATGTTTAACGCGATTCGTTGTTAGCGCAAAGTAATTTACTCCGTAAATCCGCTCTCCGTATCTATAATATAGTGTTCGAAGTAATGTGCAATTCAGGATTTTCTTCGGTCAATCATAAAATTTTTAATCGACGTTTCCTTACCGAACAAAAATTTCCCGGATGGACAGCGTTCGTTTTTAAACTAATAGTATAATATTTGCCAATATTTGCATAACTGGTAAACCAGTTGGATACAGGATAGCAATGAACAATGCCTATCTATCTTCTCGGAAACAATTATTACCTTTAACGCGAACGAAGACTCCGTGTTACATTATTTTATTTGAATAAAGAATTCTCCGTCGACTGGCGATGTCAGATTATTATAATTAGATTAGCAATAATAAGTGCGTTAATTAATGGATTAGAATTATGTAATTTATTTAGCATCCCGGATTATCTTCTGCTGCGTCGGCTGCTATCTAGCCGATGTTATTATATCAATTGCACGCCCCCGATCCTACCATCGTATTGCACTACTACTTCGCGAAGGAAAATTACCATGTGTATAACGGTACGAAGTATATAAGGGCCATTGAGTAAAACTAGATGGATCAATCAGAATTGATTCTAACATCGAAGATGCTCTATCGCTTGATTTTCCTGCTTTGCTTGGTCGCGGCTGCCAGAGCCGACGATGCTCAATCACCGAAGATAATAATCGTTGGTGCCGGACCGTCTGGAATCGCCGCGGCTTCGAAGTTACTCGAGAACGGTTTCAACAATGTCCTAATCTTAGAAGCCGAAGATCGAATAGGCGGTCGAGTTTATACAACCCCGTTTGGTGAGTCTTTATTTCTCCGATTTCGAAAACGACGTTCACCAAACGTGCATTTGCTTGCAGACAAGTACGTGGTTGATTTGGGTGCGCAATGGATCCACGGAGAAAAGGACAACGCGGCGTACGAATTGGCAAGTCCTTTGAATCTCACGGATCATGCGTCGCCGGATACGCTCGACCATATGAAAACTTATATGTCCACTGGAGAACTGATTGATCCCGCGATTATGAAGAACCTCACGATATTTTACCTTGAACTGATGGAAGACCACGCTATCATGTCCTCTGACGAATGCAAACGAAGCATCGGCAAATGTTACGTGCATAAGTACGGGTTTCGGGTTCTCGCGCTGCCGCTTCACGCACATACTCAGGATGAATTCAAATAAACGTATTCATTTCGATTCATTTAGATTCATTTTGAACTGTTTAAGTCAAACGCGATATTCGAGAGATCAGTGAATGCATTATTGTTTTTTTGTCCTGAATCCATGTTTGAAGTGCCACGTTGTAATGCACGACGCCAGTAAACGTTACGATCTACGATGAATTTGCGTTAGGTTGAGGGAGCATTTCAAGAAATTACCGGAACTGAATGACACGATGCAGGATCAATTTCTGTGGCATTACAATCTCGTACAGACTGGCTATGACCCTGCCGATAATTGGACCGACATCGCTTCGGATAATTCTGACGAGTACCGGGTGTCCGAAGGAGACCAAGTCATAAATTGGAAGGAACGAGGATACGGTACCATTCTCGATATACTAATGGTCTGTAAACGATAGCGTTTTTTTATTCATCATATTCATGGATCATAATTACTCGTTGAATCTCGTGACAGAAAAAATTCCCAAACCCTGAGGAAGAGTTACCCGTGTTAAATAAGACTATACTTAACGCGGAGGTATCGAAGGTCGATTACTCGAACGAAGATGGTACCGTGAAAGTGACTACGAGCGATGGAAAAGAGTATACAGCCGATTATGTAATTATGACACCTTCTCTAGGTGTGCTCAAAGAGAAATACGAAACTATGTTTAATCCTCCGTTACCGGAAGACAAAGTCCGAAACATTAAGGTATACGTTCTCTTTGCTACTCTCAAGCTAGATAATAATATTGTTTCTTTTGTCTTAGGGATTGGGATTTGGAAACGCTTGTAAAATCTTTCTAGCATTCGATGATCCCTGGTTCAATCCGCAGGGAGTGAAGAACGGAGGTCACAGTATTTTGTGGAGCGTGGATGAATTAGAGACACTGCATACAGATGTGAGGATCTGAAGTTCTAATGTGGACGAGAATGTGTTACGCGTTTTTATTATTCTTTTAGCCGAAAACCATGTGGATGGTCTATGCATTAGGATTTTATTTTGTCGAGCACAAACCTAACTTGATGTATGTATGGGTTTCCGGAGAGGGTGCGCGGCTAATGGATGACCTTACGGATGAGGAAGTTTTCCAACAAACAAAAACGATGTTAAACAATTTGCTGTCGAAACATTTTAATGTCACCGAACCGAAGGCGATGATAAGGTAGTATCTATTTTATTATTTTAATTCAATTTTACGACGCGACTCTTGTTTGTAGGAGCAAATGGCATCAAAATCAACACTTCCGGGGTACATACAGTTTCCGAAGTTTAGAGACAGTGAACACGAACAGCAGCGCGAAGCAATTATCTGAGCCAATTATGAAGAATGGAAAACCGGTAAATTATTACGGGAAAAGTTGAAAATAAAAGAATGGATAATAAATCTGTATTTTCCAGGTGGTATTGTTCGGAGGTGAGGCCACTCATGAACACAAATTTTCTACGGTACATGGGGCGATTAGCACGGGATGGAGGGAAGCTGAGAGGATAATGAATCTTCATAAGAAAACAAATGATGAAGCTTAAAATTGTACAAAAGATTTTATTTCAATGGATTTGTGTATCATTGTACGTGTCACAATGAACACGAAATGATCATGACAAATATATATAGCTTGATCAAAATTAGATCGTAGCATATAAAATAATGAGATTTTCATTTCCTCCGAAATCCTACATGTGCGCATTTATGTATCTGCAAGGAACTGTATTTTTTCTTCAGTGATTAGTAACGTGATACTGGAGATAAATCTGCGCCTGTTTCACGCCGGTATCGTAAGCACCGTGCGTCGTGGAATAGTAAGTCTCGTGCGTTGCTTCACCAGCAAGCATGATCATGGGTACGTCCTGAGTTAAAATAATTTTATTAATTGTTGAACTTTCATAAATCGATCGATCTCTTACCTTACTGCCACTCTCTCCCAGCCGCTTGCCCCATATCGGTTCTGATAAATTCTTTGGCGTAATCCCGTTCGCGTCGCATTTCGTTGTAATATGACTATAACTACCTCGCACGTATTTATTTGCGTTCCACTGTGTCCTGAAACATCTCTCTACGCGAGGTATGTTATCAAGTTTCAGGTAATGCTTAAGTAAATTTTCACAGTCGGTCGCGATTTGTCGTTCGCTCAACGCTTCGATAATATAAGCTCCACGTCCACTGATCCAACCGAGAAGCACACCTTCGTGATTCGGTAGGACGTCGAAGCCTGTGAGGTCTTTGGTCCAAGCAGCCAGTTTGTTATTGGAAAACTCTTCTTGCTTCCAAAGGAATTGGAATCCTTTCGTACCGGGTTTCCACCAAGGGACATCGAAATCCAGAAAGATTTTGTTTATTAAACCGAAGCCCAAACAATCGATTGCCTCGCAATAACGTGTCGGCAACGACGGAATGAACATCTTTTTGTAATTTTCTTTTAAATATCCAAGAGAACAAGTGATTATCACACAATCTGCAATTATTCGAGTGTTATCGGAAAGTTTTAATACGAGAAAGGGATCATTGTTCTTCATCTGCTGCCACTCGATCGAATCCACAGATGTATTTAATCGTAAATTTTTCTCGTCCAAGCTATCAGCAATGAGTTTGGGCAAAGCTTTGTAACAGGTCTTAAACGCGAGGTGTTCTGGTCCGCCGGTGAACTGCAAGACACGTATATGTTTAACACCGAATCATTTCGGATTTTGACCTGCCCGAAACTACTTACTCTGAACTGTCCCCAATATTTCGTAGATAACACGTCTAACGTATAACAAGCATTATCTATGGCGATGAATTTAACGTTCCAATCGAAAATCTCTTCTTTTATATTTCTTATCGGCAACGGATCGTTTCTTTCGTGCAAATACTCGTCGAAAGACTTCCTCAACAGAGCGCCGATATTTTCGCAACCCGCTTCGATATTCCTGTTCTCATATTCCTCGTACTGTTCTAACGTGTCACGGATAAAATCGTCTATTTCCTCCACTAAAGCCTCGTCTATTTCGCGACCGTCATTGCGAAGAAAAACTCCTTGACCGTCCTTGCATTGGGTATCCGAGAGTAAATTATGCTGATAACACAATTGCGCTAACTGACTTCGAGCTCCATGTACAAATTGCGCGCCGCTCTCTATCCAGACCTTCTTCCACGGTAACGATTGAATCCGACCACCAATATCTATTTGAGCTTCGAGAAAACGAACAGTCAATCACAGAATAATTTTTCTATCAATTTGATTTCGACGTTCGATTACCTTCGATTAATAGATAGTCTTTAAACTCAGCATCCTCCAATGTTTTCGCGGCCGCTAATCCCGCGATACCTGCACCTACTATCACGAGTTTCGTTTTCGTCGTTAATTCATTAGAACCGTTAACCGATCTTTCCATTTTATCGAAGCCATTTACCATTCTCTTTAACCAACCTTGCGTTCTAAGTGGTATGGATTGGAATTTACCTTAATTAAAATTTCAGCCTCGTTCGGAGTTATAATCAATTTTTAATGTGTATATACAAATTGTTAGTACATTCAAACTTAAAATAATTCAATAACCGAGTATATGTTTGTGTAAATATCAATGCAGATAGGCTCATAAGTGCTTATCGCGTTACGACGCGTACAACGTAACGATCAACGTAATTATTATTGAAACATGTAATTCTATGTTTTATTGTACGAGTGCACCTCAGGGGTCAATCGTATTTTTATCGTACATCGCATGCGTCTGAACGCGACCTTAAACGTTGAACTGCATATCTTTTGATCGCAGTACGTGTAGTTGCACATGTGCTGTTAAATTTAATAAACATCTGCACAAGAGATATTTTTTCTAATAGATTGACAAGTAAGTCTATGATTTACCGTAATCCCCGTGAAGAAACATGTGCCACTGGTTAGAGCTGAGACTTTAACCGCCTAAGAAGAAGCATGCTAATCAGTAGAAATAGAATTTACGTTCTCGGAATAAAGGACAGAGATTAGGAACAGGAGGAAGCGTAGACATATCGTGCAAGTTAGTTTAAATGGAAACGATCAAATCACACAGAGTACGAAGCCATGCAATGATCACAAAAGTGAATTTACCTCAGAGTTAATACTTTTTAATAATTATCCATAGAATCTCTACGTATGAATAAAAACGACTTATCAGCTAGAACGAGTGACAGAAAATGATTACACTATTGCATTTCGAACTAATGAAGCTTACCTATGAAAGTCTATTATTTTATCAGCTGCCCTGAAGCCCGTCTCGACCGCACCGTGTACAGTAGAGTAATAATGCTCGTGCGTCGCTTCTCCGGCGAAGAGAATTATCTAATAAATGAACAAGACTATTAGTTAAATAATCCAAGACACGGGCACCTGGTTGACTATCCATTTAGTGAGAACTCACAGGTTTTCCATCAATCGTTACAATAGGTTCAGCTAAATCTTCAGTCTTCGCATTCAGTTTTTCAGTAGTTATACTCTTGAAAGAGTACGATCCACGGAAATGCTCATCTGTATACCACGATGATCTATAAATAATGGACAGATTAACATTCGGATGTTAATGAATAATAAGAAGGAATATTATAAAATGATTACCGAAGCATTCGATCAAATTTCGGAATGTTATACGCTTTACTCAAAAACAGTTCTAACAGTAGACACAATCCGTCAGAGACGTCGTTATCAGAAAGCGATTCTATCTCTTTCGAAAATTTGCCAGAGATCCATGCACATAATACTCTGGGTTGATAATCTACGGAGATAAACGCGAAAACATCGCACAGCCATTCGCGTTCCTAAATTGCATATAATTAAAACGTTTGAAAAGCAATGTTATTGTTGTGTTGCATAATATCTGAGATTCTAATTATTGTACTTGTCCATGAGATTTAATAAACTCTTCTCTGTCCTCCTTGGACCATATTAAACTGAAACCGGCGCAATCCTCTTGCCACCATCTATGCGGGAATTCCAAAAGTACTTTATTTACAGTTCCAATGTTTAAACCCTGTTACAATTTTTATATTCAATTAAATGCCTACCAAGGAATAGAAATATTGCGTTACGAATCGATGTATGATTTTTACCGTGCCTTTATCGCATTCTGCTTCGCTTCAGGTAAAAGTGGAGTGAACAAAGCGGCGTGTTTCTCTTTTAATACTCCGAGGGACGGTGTGAAGATAACGTGAGAGGCCGTGTATTCTGAACCATCTTTTGCTTTGACAATTATATCATCATTCAAAATATAATTGATATTGACAACGTCTTTATTAAGTTCTACCTTCGTCATTATAGCCGATTCGCCTTCAGCGCTCGGTATTTTCTTCTTGAATCCGAAACGAAGAATATGTTACAAAATGCATAATTTTCTAAATCAAGTACTGATACTTACTGATAATAAATCGAATAGCGTTCTATAGCCACGATCCTTCCAATTTAATAGAAGATCTCCTTCACACGCCCAATAATCCGTAATTTTTTTCGCGGAGACATCGAACCATGAATCGCTGCTTTGAAGAGAATTATCAAACTTTTGCATCCAACCCAATAATTGTTCGGCCTTCTCGCGAGTGGTAAATGGATTTTCATTATATATCTGATAAAATCTGAAACATTCGATTTAGCTGAACTTCAAACGATCATGTTTCGAGTTCTGGCGGTGCAGTTCGACCGGATGCGAGTCATCGTCAGCTGTAAGAGTCATCAATAACGAGAGTAGAGGGGAGTTATGCATTTTATTTTTCCTTTAACCTAAGGAGCCGTCAACTATAATTTTCTATAATATGAATTAGGAATAATATAAATCCTTTTAAAGAAGTAATGAGGAAACAATATGTTTGCAAACAGGTAAGAAACGACAGATTCAATTGCAGGATCATTTTTGAATAAATAATTGTATTTTAGAAATGTTGACCCTGAACTGGAGAAGTTGAGGAAAGAAGTTGATGGCCCACCGAATTTGGACACTGTGGCATTGAACATCCAAAGAACCACAGCAAATATTCATGCTTCTTACCTGTTTGAGCATGTTGGGAAAGCTGCATTGCGAAAGTTATGCTTATTACTAAGTTCTACGCCAACAGGAAAAACATACAACGGATGGCAAGAGTTTGCTGCACATATGGGCTTAACAATGGAACAAATACGCGTATGCATGTGCAATACATGATTTAACTCGTCGATTTAAACAGTTATTTCCATCAATTCTCTCCCTTGCAGTATATAGATGAGCACCATCTCAAAGGCTTGCAAGATCCGACTTACTACGTTTTATTAGCTTATGTACAATACGGACATGCAACTATCGATAAGATCATAAGTGTCTTAATGAGGATACATCGTTACGATATAATTAATCAAATAAAGGATAACATATATGAATTGGTTCAGGAAGTCACACAGAATATTGAAGCAGAATCGGCTGTAATAAAACCAGAAAGCATCCCAAGAGCTCCACTAATATTAACGCCAATTAATTTCATACAAAAACCACAAGACACAGATGGTCCCAATCATGTTACACAAAATAATTCGCAGAAGGTAAACACATGGAACAGACATCTCTCGGAGAAAACTATCAGAGACTACAATTATTTATTCTATCGACAGACTAAACAATTGTGTGGCTGCGTAGTAATGTTAACGTTCGCTGATGATGGTTTAGAAACGGCACAACATGTGACAAAGATATTCAGGTCTAAGCAGCCTAGAATCGGAGTTCTCATACTTCAGGAACAGGAAAATTATGTGTATAGTAGAGCTGAAGAGTTTATACACGATTGTTTCAAACAGGTAAAACAATCATATTCTTTCTATGTCAAAACATCGATTCAAATTAATTGCTATGCACACTTAGGTGCATTTCGTCATACCTATATTAACTAAAGGATATATAGAAAGGATATACAACCCGAAGATGTACATAGAGGATCAAAATAAGTTAGATTTGAAATACATCAAATACATCTACTCTTTGTTTACTAATGAATATGTGAAAAATCAATGCATTAATGATCGTGTAAGGTAAGTTAATAAAAACTGGCTATACACACCGAAATTAAATTTACTAATTACTTCTAGATGCATTGTTCCTGATAATGATGTTTATACCATAGTAAAAGCAGGTTTGCACCCAACGTTACAAGCATGGTTCAGGGAAAGTGATATTGATGCATTCATTGACAATATTCTTTTACGAAAATATTCTAAATAAACCTGTACGACAGATAACTGAGAATACTACTGATCTATACTCACTGATTCTCAAAATACTCCCCATACGATTCTGCGTCATGCACAGCGTCCGATATAGATTCAGATATATTATAATATATCTTAAGTGTTTCTATACCTTCAGCCTTTGGAAAAACTTCACCTTTCGCATTGACAAATACATGTTTATCAAATTGGTTATAACATACTGACGAATCCAAAAGTTTGTGCGGAGAAGCAAGATTAAAAACAACGTTCCCATGTTCACCGTGAACCCACTGGGCCCCTAAGTCTACGACATTGTCAGCTAAGAACAGTTATTATATTTATACATTAAAGTTATTATATTTATACATTACAATTATTATATATGTATATAAATGATAGAAATATAAGCTTAAACTACTTACAAAATTCTACTGTGTGTATCCTACCACCAATACGATCTTTACCCTCGAGAATCGTGATATTTTCTAAGCCCTTTTCTATCAATCTACTCGCCGCAGAGATACCTGCTGCTCCAGCTCCGATAATTATTATTTTTGGTCCTTTCAACATGATTTCTTTATAATATAACAGACTGTAACTATCCGTACTTCAATACTCTCGTCATTTATTCATTATACACAGATTATTATAATATAGAAGACTGATAAGATTACTTAATACGATAATAAAAACGATAAATGGGATTTATTGATACGAAAATAAAAATGTATCTCGTGTCGTGGTTCGACACAGATTGCACGCACAGTAGCAGACGAGACAGACCGCATCATCTTACAGTAAGCTTTAAAACTTGGAACACTGATTCAGAATTGGACCAAGAGATGGAGCCACAGACACGCTTTCTTTGAAACATTTAAAAATCTAACTTTCACGTGTTTCGCACTTTTTTAAAACCTTTCTAGCATCCAGTTTACGTAAAGTATTACAGAGTATTGTTCTGAAACCCTTTATTTTCATGGACGCGAAGAAAAATTATATCTTAGTTTCTACTGAACGGATTTCAATATATCATTTAAATTAAGGCTCCAGATTCCAGAGATATATATAAATCATTTCTTTAAAAAATTATGGAATTGATTTCTGTTTAAAATATTCTGACGTTTTAAGTAGCCATCGATGAATATTATATTAGCTGACAGTAATTAGTGGTGGGAAGAAGGAAGTAAATGAAGAGGCAACTATGGAGATCGAGCGATGGTAAACTTTAGTCGAAGAACGAAGTCGGATTAAACGGATAACAGTCAGCCGGTCTATTAGAAGACAAAGTGATTAAAGGTGAGGTTTTACGGGCACCGGACGGCAGCCGAGACGGTGAAAAAAGCATCATGCGTCGTCGCCAGTATAAAGTCTCGGGGTCGTAAAATTCGCTTAGTTACCTGGCCAGCCGTAAAATCGCGGTCTAACCGAGGTGACCTTTTACCATGGGCCATGCCGTGATTCCGGCCGAACGACGAGGAAAAAAAAAATGCACGCAACTTTACCCCTTCATCCCGGGGGTTTACCCGAAGGATCCTAGTTAGCTGGGAAAGTTTACGCCGCCGAGTTTGCGTGGAAATTGTATTTCCATGAGCCGAGAATCGAGCCAAATGAAATTTGATCGCGAACAGGGTGGGTTGGGGGAGGTAGGAGTGGCGAAAGCGGTTGGATTACGCGCACGATTCATGCAGGCGGTGCGTGGAAGTCGTCCCTTAAAGAGGAACTCGAGACGGGGCAATGTTGCAGAGCGAAAAGTTCCCGAGTAATATCGAAATGCATCCCTGACTCTGACGAGATAAGAGCCTGAAGTTCAATATTGACTCTCGTTCTGCTTATTTTGGCCTCTTGTTCAGTTCGCGAAACGTATTTGCATTCGGGGAATGGGAAAAGATGAACGGCAATAATATGCGTCCTCTCGGCTAGGAGAGACTCGAGACGCGAAAGGACCAGCATTAATGAATTCATACCAAACAGGTTCGGTTTACTAACGAGATTACAGGGGACGGCGACAATGAGGATACCGTGTATCTCGGCTCACTCAAAGATTTGGTTTACGCAGCAGAGATAAATCGTAGAAGGGGGTCGGCTGGCTCGTAGCGCGTAGCCGAGGAGAAGGACCTGTAGGAGATGGGTTAAGGTCGGGGGAAAGGGTATCTTGCGGAAATTCGATGCTAATGAAGGAAATTGCGTAGATGCCGAACCAGTATTTCCCCTATCTCTCTCTCGTGCCCTCTCGTCGCATCCTACGAAGTGGTAGTAACGAATTTCTGGCCCGCTTCGCGTGGGTGTGCGACCAACAGTGCCGTGTCTCCGAGCTCGCTAATTTTCTATTTACTAACTTACTATGTACCTAACTGTTACTTCCCGTCCCTGTATGTATATTCCCGGGCCCGTTCCTATATTTTCTCTCCGGCGTAATGTCTCTGCAACGACGCAAAGTCTAAGTAGCAAGCCTGTAATGCTCTCGAGTTGTCGCTGTAACATACGATACCAACCAGGCGAATTATTATTAGTAGACAGCCGAGTTGAATGCACGTGTGTTACTTTCGAGATGCCCTTATCCTCCTTTTCTCGCGATGAGCCGACTGATAAGTCGTAGGGAAGAAAAGCTCCGCAGGCATTATTGATCATTTATGATATGCCGCATACGAACATTAACGTTTTATGGGACATGATCGAAGGGACAGCGGGAAATTCAGGGAAAGGAGATTATCACTCAATGGAGTCGAGGGTTTGCGCCCTTTCATGTTATCTATATCTCGTCAGAAATGTCTCCCTTATTTAAATAGGCTGCCAATGCGAAAGGGAATAGGGCGGTTCTCGAGGGTTGCGGCAATCCGCTGCCTATCTTCGAGGGTGGAATCAGCGTGTTCCTCGGAATGTAATCGACGAATTATTTGCCATCTACTACAGTTTCGTAGCCCGTGAATCCACGGATTCAACTTTTATTAGCTGGTAAAGACGTATACAGATTTAATACGAAAGGATTCGGTATCAACGGTTCACCATCGACTATTCGTTATGCGTTAACCGCGAGTGGAGTCAGAGGAGAAATTTACGGAGTCGAAAAGTTGTAAATACGTTCGAAACTGGGCTACGGGTTCGGTTTATTCTTAGTCGTCTCGACGGCGCGGACAATTTCCTACGATGATATTTCTCCGGACCGGAAGTACTTCGGAAATGAAAGTGTCCGCGTTGGGAATATTTAAAGCGCGCTTCGTTCCGGTAGGAGAAAATCGGTGCCACGTACCTACTCCTCCGGGGACAGATTTCTTTCCTCAGGTTTCGTTGAACTTTTGATAGGGGAAACGCTCGGGTTAAAACCAGCGTAAGTCTTAATTAATCGCGCGAGACTACTTAATTTCCCTGCCAGACGTCCGGGGTCCATCGCGATTCAGCTCGGTCGCCCCTGAGATTTCGTTTGGGGTTCCACTTACCTTGAATCAATGGAAGCTTCATTTTTCTAGCCGTCAGTGAGAAAAAGATAATACAAACTTTCCAGGGGATTACTACTACAACTACTGACGATTGATGTATATCGACTTCTAACGGAGGGATCAGAATGACTTATTTTCCAAATTAATAAGTCATAGGAAGAGGCATAGCAATTTTTACGTTTTTATG